AACCGAATCGTTTGCACACCCCTACAAGAGAGGAGAGATAAATTTTTGACCAACTACAATCTAATCGTTCATGTTAACAATATTGGTGTCGATGTGTTCCTCTCTACAATTAAATTTTATCGATGATGGTTTTAGCGAGTTCAAGTATTTTAGTTAAATTGGTGCGGGAAATGAAGGTGGCGGCCCAAAACAGTGGCTTCGAGTTTCGGCAACCATTTCCAGATTTTGACGAGCAATTTCCAAATTTTAGTTATCTAAAATTCGGGAAAGAAGGTGATTGGACGATGTCTTATCTGCCTTTTTTTAAAAATAAAAAATAAAAAATAAAAACTACTAGGCCGCGACATCTAGTGCAAGCAAGTGGGCTCGGTTGACTCCGGGCTCTTCGTCTACGCCTAACTAGTTTTCATTTTTTTATTTTTTTATCTTTTTACCTTTTCTTTTCTTTTTATCTTTCATACGAGCCTCACAAAAAAGAAAAAAAAAGGATGATTATTTTTCATAAATTTAATTCTTTTTTATTTTTAAAAAATTAGTATAGAAAATAATCATTATTGTAAAAATAATGATTCTTCGTGCGAGCCTTATAAAATATAATAATAATAATTTTTTTTTACAAAAATATAGGAATGATGATCAATCAATATAAGATGCATAGTTTTCAAAAATTTGATGATGATAAATCTAAAGCGAGTTAGTGTAACATTTTTTTATAAAAAAATCAACATGGACCTTATATTAACATTCGGGATAAGAAATGATCTAAATAATAAAGATTTAATAATAAATAAATAATTATCTTTAAATTTTTATTATTTTTTGCTAAAAACATCTTGCTTAAAAATTGATAATAGTTCTTCGAGCATATACAAAAAATATAATTTCGTATTCTTTTCAAGTATTTTTTCAAAAATAATAAAAAAAATTGTAGTATTGACACATTAAATAATTCATCACTTGATCTTTATATTTTTTTCTATGTAAATTTAGATTTTAAACAATAGAAATTAACATTCAGAGTTACTATGATGAGTACAAAAAAAATAACTATCAAGCGAGAGAATATTGCAGCTTTTTTTAATCAATAGTTATGAACTTATTTGTTAAATTTAAGCATCCTTCAAATATAGATTTCTCAAGTACCTTGTCATTATCGATTCTTGCCTTTTCTAAATATTTATTCTTTTAATTTTATTTTTAGGTGATGTAAATAATTTATTTCACGTTTGCTTTTTTCATTTATCAAACCAAACATATTTATAGAATAAATTTAAATTTAAAAATAAGAATGCACATATCAAATACTATGAAGTCCTATTAGAAAGTTTTGTTCAACTAGATTTTTAGAAGTAACTAGCATATATCCCGCACGTTGTTACGGGATACAACATTCTTATATGTTTATTCATATAAAATTTAAAAGTTAAAAATAATTATTTAAAAGGATCATGTGAAAATTTTTTTAAAAAATTAAAACATATATTTCATATTTTGTCGCAAGGTTAACAAAAAGAAAAATCTACAAAGTTGAGTAATATAATATTACTAATTAGATATTATTTGATATAAAAATGTATTTTATTTTAAATATATATAATAACTGGTAGTTAAAATTTTTGAATTTTAAATGATTAATTTTTTACCATATATTATTCATCTATAACTTATTAATGAGATAGAGAGGTCACCCAAAATAAAAAGACAAAAAAACTTTGTCAAATTGAGACTTTGACCAAAAATAGAGATAAAATTATACATGATAAAAATTAAATGATCAAAACAAAGTAAAGATCATAAAACAATGATCAAAATAAATAAAAAAACTTTAAATAAAAGTTAAAAAAAAAACAATAAGACTAAAAGAAAATTCATTATGCATAAGATAGGAGCAAAAGTAAAATATGATAGAATTTTAATGACCAAAATAAGAAGCAAAACATAAAATATTTTTTACTAAAAGCTAAAAAAAAAGTTAGAATAGTGAAATTATATTTAATTTTAGTGTAGAATGAATAATAATCAAATATAATAAAAATTTAATGATCAAAATAAAAAAAAAGATCACAAAACAAAAATCAAAACATAACAAATTTTTTTACTAAAAGTAAAAAATATTTCCTTGTATAATAAAAACTTAATAATCAAAATAAAAAAAATATAAAACATGAACTAAAATAAAAATAAAATTCTACTAAATTTAATAGCCAAAACAAAGAAAAAATCATAACGCAAAAATTATAATAGAAAGAAAAGTGTAACTTAAAAAAAAAAAAAAGCTTACGATAGTAAATTTTATTTAGTTTTAATATAATAAAGATAAAAATCAAATATGATAAAACTTTAATAACTAAAATAAAAATATATAACAAAATAGAAAAAAAAGAACATAAATTCTTACTAAAAGTGAAGAAAAAAAAATTATTATAGGGATAAAAATCAAATACAATAAAATTTTAATACTTATTATAGGGATAAAAATCAAATATAATAAATTTTAATGACTAAAATAAATAAATATTACAAAAAAAAGACCAAAATTAAAAAATTTCTTAAACCGAACCCCAAAAAAAAAAAAAAAAAAGGGAGGAGAAGTCTTCTTCTTTTTTTTCGGCCTTCGGAACTCTTTTTAGAGTGAGAGAGAGAAGGACGGTAGCCAGTTGAGATTTGTTTCTGTTTGCCACCAAATTTTTCTATAGGACCTTGAAATCCTTGTGCCTCAAAAACTCCAACTGGTTCATTCTTTCTTGTTTCTTGAGATCCTACTCTCCGACTTGTTGGTCTTTGGCTTTGCTGTCTCTCCGCTGCATCTCTTACATAGGACCTTGAAATCCTTGTGCCTCAAAAACTCCAACTGGGTCATTCTTTCTTGTTTCTTGAGATCCTACTCTCCGACTTGTTGGTCTTTGGCTTTGCTGTCTCTCCGCTGCATCTCTTACCTTTCCTTGTATCCAAACTTAACCCTCCTTAAGACCCTTTCTTCTCTCTTTTCTATGTACCATCTTTCCTAATCAAAGAAAGATCCATTCTTTACTATCTTGGTATTGCTTTATTCTTGTTGGAGGCAACAAATATCAATTCTTGTTTGTGGAAAAGTCTTTGTTTGTGTATTGCATGCAAGTGGGCTAGGAGTTTTGAGTTGGAACTTTTGTTTCTTTATGAAGTAAGGGTTTTGCCGTTCCTTGGAAAGGAAGCTTTTTTCTTTCAATTAAAGCATCTGGGCATTCTTGATATTGGAAAAGCTGAACTGGGTATTGCTTGAAATGGTTATTCTAAGCTTATTGGATTTGATAGGTTGATTTAGGGTCAGTTAATGTTGTGGGGTTTGAGGCTATCGGTGCCTTTTGGATTGGTTTGAACTTAATTTGTGTTTCTACTGGTTGTGTTGTAGACTTTTAGTGATTGAGATTTGATGCTTGGTCCAAGACAATGGAGAGGTTTATGGCCAGATTTTTATTTATTTGCCATTGACCAAATGTTCAAATAATATGAAGAACTTTCTTAAGAAGCTCCATATCATGCCTAATCAATCAGAGGATGCAGAGGGGCCAAATTCATGAAGATGCAAAAACACTGTTCAAATGAAAAGTTTGGAGCTTTGAGGTTAAAACGTGGAGGGCTACTGAAGGGGGAAAAAAGAGTGTACAGTAAGTGAATAGTGGATCTGAGTGTGCATGAACGGTATAAATAAATAGTTAGAATGCTCAATCTTTTAGTTTTGTTTAGAATTAAGATATTAAAACAAATTTTATATGCTTGCCCGTAGCAGCGCACTTGACATGAAAGTAGTAAAAAAGCTAAAACAGTATACGTTTTTACTGTAATTAAGTCCTGCTACAATATCTTTAAGATAACTTCTTTTTGAACCTTTTTAGTTAGAAACATCTCTTTTTGGACAAATAATAATAATAATAAAACAAACATCATTTTGACAAGACCTTTAAGTGATATGATTTCATTTTAGTCCTTGACTGTTTAATTTTGTAGAAAATAGTCCCTCAACTTTATTTGTATTAGATCTAGGTCCTTAAATGTCAAAAGAGAAGAGAGACACCAAGATAGGGAGGGGTCAAGCAGGTACCACTACGGCTTCTTTTCTCTCTAGATGTTGCGAGGAGGATACAAAACTATTGGAGTACTGTTGCTCCTACTATGAAAGATTCTACTCAAGTGGAGGATGCTACTCTAAAAACTACTCTGATAAAAGACGTGCAAGTTCATAAAAAACACTGATAAAAGAAAGGTAGAACATTAGAAATATGGGTATTGCAGTTTATGAATGTGGCCATTAAAGAAGACAGTTTTCTAGCAGGCTATAAATTCAGGCTACAAGTAAGAAGAAGAACACAAAGAACTCGACATTAATTCTCTTGAAATATCAATAGCTTTAGCGATTATAATCTCTAAAATACCATAATCTCTAAAATGCCATCGCTTCATCGACATAGCTAGCTCCTTTTTGGATTAATTATTTCTATCTCTCAGCACCGATATCTGTAATTTTCTATGTTATTATTTGTAAGAAAACTTTTGATTCAGTTTATATCAATTTCAAGGCATGTCTAATTGTTTAGTTTATATTCTGTAATGGTAGCATGTTATTTCAAAATCTTTGTTAGAAGATAGTCCATAGCAATAATCTTACTTTTATTCGTGTCATTATATTATTGTTATAAGATAGTCCATAGTAATAATCTTTTGATTGCCTTGCAATGACTATTAGTATTTCTTCTTCTTCTTTTTTTTTTTTTTTTTTTTCATCTTATAGTCTTAATTGAGGCACGCACCAAAAAATCTTCAACAGAAACATAGCAATTATACAAGTCATGTCCGCTACAACTGATAAAATTTTAAGCACCAGACGAATTATAGACTGGAAATAAGAATCCCAGAATATATTTTTGCCATGAATTATTATTCTTCCTCGTTGAGCTTGCAGGAGCAAGGATATAAAGTTACATAGTTTCAACTTGTGGTGGAGCTCTCGAAAATTTTGGACAACCTCACTTACTAGAGAGACCTGCATAATCTTTTGGTGAATATGGTATAAACAAGTATGCTAAAAGTCCTTTCTTTCTTCTGGGATTGTATCCCATGTCCTTGCAAAGTTGGTCTTTGTGCCATATGAAAAAGTTGTTAATACAAGCTCTCCTAAAGTAGCGACCTGTAACTTGTTTGATGTGATCTGCCCACATGTTTGCTTCCTTTTCCATGTCTTTTATACCTGGCAATTCAATGTTTCCATCAAGGAGATGTGATAGCCATTGACATTTCATTTCAGAGCTGCCCAAAGTTGATAAACTCTCATTGTATCCTATTATAGCCAATCGAGGAATTCGAGGATGAATTATTTGTCTGCAGAAATGCAAAATAAGTTGTCATATTAACACTAGGCATGCAATTTCAATCTGGATGTATTCATTGAGCAATCTAAAGAACATACAGAAACCAAGATGGCTAGAAATAAGAAAAGACCTATAGAGCGAAACTATAGAAGTAGATGACCCCTTTATGTAGTTTTGGAAAACTGGAGACTCAAAAATGTTTCTCAGTTTTTCGTCACCCTTGAATCCTGTTGCGAAAATCACAACATCTGTTTCTAATGGCCGAGATTCCCCATCTACAATTAGACCTTCTCGAAAGAAGCTGAAGCTTTGTGAATTCTTGATAATGATGCTTCCTTCTTCTACTCTGTCATAGAATTTGTCAGGCAGCGTTGCAAACTGACATGTAGATATTTCTTCACCAAAACTGCATTTGGGTAACATTCCATACTTCTTCAATGGAAGATTCCATTTAAGGTAGGTCTCAATGATTTTTGAAATCACCCATCTCTGAAAATCCAAAAATTGGCATCATAATTGAGAACAACTCGCATATATTGTTCTTGAACAAAAGCAAATTGGAAGAATGAACAAATTAAGTTACCAAGGGTGACAACAAGGTGGCTAAAAAACTTAATAGAAGTGTTTCACCAGGTTTATGAACCGACAGTTCTGAGAATCGACTGAAGTACAAGAAAGCAAGCAGAAATCCACATAGATTGTTAGAAGGCAAAAACCAGTGAGCATTCCTTTGAATTATTGTGCACGGGTACTTCACTCCTGGATTATAGATTATAGCAAGTCAGCTTAATTAAACTTCACATGACAACAAAGCAGAATGTAGTTAAGCACTCCATCTACAAATTCCAGTGGCAGCGTAGACCTTTACGTTTGTTGAAGGAATAACATAGACACTGAGTTTTCTCGATAATCTGATGAAAGCGTTGAAGTAGGAATATTTGCTTTAACAGAATCTTTTCTTACCATTTGCCTCGGCACATTCTGCTGCTATGTCAACTGCGCTTTTATGAGAACCGATTATCGCAACTCTCTTTTCTTTTATCAATTCTAGAGCAGTCAAATTGTCCAAAGCTGAGAAGTCCTCTGAATGAATCACCTTGCCCTTGAACACTTCAGGCCCTTGATTTGGAAGGAACTCTGGAATATTTGGAAGGCCACTGAATTGTCCAATGCAAAGAACAACAAATTCAGCGTGATACACCTGAGCAGTATAATTCTTCAGTTATTTATGAAAAAATAGCCACAACAAAAGTCCATAACAACATGCATCTTCAAAAAATAAACATACCTGTATGCTGCCAGTTTTTGTGTATTGTACTTTGACATGCCATTTCGCTTTGGAGCCAAAGGGCTTGCCTGTCCCACCCCAAAGAGCCCACGACTCCATCTCTTCACTAGACTCTCCAACATACTCTAAACCAATGACCTTGGAATCGAACTTGATGCAAGGAAAGATATTGAAATGCTGTGCATAAGATTCAAGATACTCTATCACTTGACTGTGAGTAGGATATGTATTTTTTATTGAAGAAGACCATGGAAAATCAGAAAACTGGTAAACTTCTTTGGTGTTTTGGAGTCTGGTTGAGTCTAAAGTATGTTTCCAAACTCCTCCAATTCTTTCTTCAGCTTCGAACACCATCGGATTGAGTCCGATATTGAGAGCATACTTACAGGCAAGAAGGCCACTCACTCCAGCTCCAACAATTACTACCTTCTTTTCCATTAGTCTACTTGGATGAGTTTGAAACCAAGGTTTCTATACTAAACACAAGTTGTAAAAGATAATGTCACAAGCTATTGAAGGCTTACGTTCATGAATCATGACTATTATATAGTAATAGTTAGGGGTGATGATTTGATTTTTCAGTTCGGTTTGATAAAAATTTTCTATGATTATAAAAAAATTGATCGAAGTGACAAGTTGAACATTTTAAAAAGTTTCACAAACAAATAGGATGCAATTGGAAACTTAAAGTGTTATGAGAAATTTTCAATATTGTATAAGAATATATGAATATATTAGGAAAGATTTTACTACTCCAATTTTATATAAAAAACAAATTCCTTAAATTACCATTGATTTCATGTAATGCATGATTAAATTTAATAATTAAAAATTTTAATAAAAAAGGCATTTTTGGAAAGTACTTTACCACCTTGATTTTATATAGATTTTTTTCCTTAAATTAATAATAATTCTTGTAATGCAATATTAAATTTGATAACTAAAAATTTCATTAAAAATTATATTTTAGGAAAATATTTTACTGCCTTTATTTTATATAGATTTTTTCCTTATTAATTCCATGTGATGTATAATTAAATTTGATAACTAACAATTTTAACCAAAAAAAAAAAAGTATTTTAGAAAAATATTTTACCACCTTAATTATATATAGATTATTTCCTTAAATTAATATTGTTTTCATGTAATGGAGGATTAAGTTTGATAACTAACTGTTTTAACAAAAAAGAGTATTTTACAAAAGTATTTTTACCACCTTAATCTTATATGGATTATTTTCTTAAATTAACATTGGTTCCATGAATTGCCGATTATTTGATAACTAACAATTTTAATAAAAATATATATTTTTTGGAAAGTATTTTACCACCTTAATTTTATATAGTTTTTTTCCTTAAATTAATATTATTCCATGTAATACATGATTAAATTTGACAAATAATAATTTTAACAAAAAGAGTATTTTAGGAAAGTATTTTGACACCTTAATTTTATATAGATTTTTTTTCTTAAATTAATATTGATTCCATGTATTGTAAAATTAAATTTGACAACTATTAGTTTTAACAAAAAAAGATATTTTAGGAAAATATGAACAAAAAATTATTGTATGGCATAATAATTAATAACTTTTTTAAATTATGTGAAAAGTCAAATGAGATAATCTCTTTAGGACAAAGAGTATATAATAATAATAATAATTTGGTTTTTTGGTTCAACCAAACTCAAAAAACTAAAATAATTTCAGTTTGGTTCGATTCAATTTTTTGGTTAAAATTGGACAACGAACACCCATAGTAATAGTGCAATTTGTTTGTTTCTTATTTACGGGGTTAATGGCATTTTTCACCCCTAAAATATCAAGGTTCTAGCATATTTAGGCTTATAATATCAATTTGGTCAATTTTAACCTTGCCTATTATGTTTTGGGATTGGCAAATATTGTTGTTATATGACATTTATGGGACTTTCAAAATCTTTGACCGAGGAAAAAGAATTAAGAAGGTTTTGGAATCATCAATTAGTATTAAGAGAAACTATAAACCTTATGAAAGATAGTAGATTCGAGAGATTTTGGATAAAGAGTTGGTTATGCATTTGGAAAGATAAAAATTACCCAAATGTGTCCTCTCCAAAGAAAGATATCAGCTTTTAGTCTAATCCTAAAAATATCTCTTAAAACTTATGTTCACCAAATTATTTTCTAAGTCTATTTCTAAGTTTATTTGTCTAAGTCGAAAGAATAGGTTTTATTTTTATTTTTTTATCGTGAAATCATATGAAATTGACATCGGGCCCCAAAATTGGGAGCCTCATCAATTTACTATAGGATCCAATTATGTCCTAACACGATTGGCATGCCAAGGAATGACTTATTAGCTAAAGGTATTTTTGGATGCGAGATGAGAGAATCTCTCCAAGATTGATTTTTTTGTGGAATTGTATTAAATTGATGTCAAGCCCCAAAACAGAGAGTCTCGTCAATTTAGTATCAAATCTATCTTAGTCCTAACACGATTGACATATCCAGGAACAACTTAATAATCTAAAGGGTTTATGTAGAATGAAGAAAATGTTAGTGTAGGTGCTCAAGGTCCAACATATTTGGATGGTTTAAAATATTGTATTATTGCATTTTCAATATTAATAAAGAATTTTTTTATTAATTCATGTTATTTATAATTTGATAGAATTAGATAAAAGTCCATATGATAATGCATTACCTTGATGATTGATCAATAGATGTGAGAAAAACATCAATACTCATAAATGATATCATTAAATGTCCCAAGTCATATCATTATCTAGATTGGACATTGACAATATGTGGTAAAATTTATAAGTGCTATTCTATTTCTATAAAATAATAATAGGAGATCTCATACATACTGACATGATGATGCCAAAGCAAGTACATAGATGAATAATGTTAGAGAACATATCAATAGCGTGACTTGCCATGAGAATCATTTGGTATAGTCTATGAAAATCTCATACTAGATGGGTACAAGTAGTCATTTAACTTGCAGTCATTACAATTATCTTATTAGAGGATTGATGTATTTTAAAATTCATTTTGATGGGCTCGAGTAAAGAGCTACATGTGGGCGATTCGTTGGGTGTATTAGGAATTGAATGAAGATAGATGGATAATTAAGATAAGGCATGTCATTCCTTATATGTTAAATGAGTTATCATATTGCACTTCAATAAATGTCCGCTCAAGAATCTATGGCCACAAAGGAAGCATATCAATAGAGCATAGTTGGTTTACTTGAGAATTAAGACATTTAAAGATCAAAGAAAACTTGTATGATCATAATCGAACAACTAAAAAACCAAGTTCGAGATCACACTATGATAAATTAACATGATGACTCGAATTGAATAGAAACCATACTCGTGAAAGGTTATTGCAAATTAATTAATCCTTCTAGATAATTAGATTGTCATGATGTTTTCTTGGAGGTCAATCTTGATTTATATATTGAGAGATAAAAAAAATATCTTTTAATTTTGGATATATTACCAACATAACCTGGAGCTTATTGAGTCACAAGCATAAGTCTAAACATTCATACGGAAAAAAAAGCAAAAAAATTGAAATTTTTTTCTATTTTGGAAATCGGTTTCCTAAAACGAAATCGATTCCTAATTTAAAAATCAATTTGCTAATTTGAAGGTTAGTTACCTAAATTAGAAATAAAAAAAATATTTTTTTAATTTGGAAGTCAATTGCCTAAATTGAAAATCAATTTCCTAATTTAGGTTTAATTAACTACGAGGGTAAATTAGGAAATTGGAAATTGGTTTTTTAATTTGGAACTCGGTTACCTAACTTAGAAGTCAGTTTTCTAATTTAAAAATTATTTTTTAATTTGAAAGTCGATTACCTAAATTGAAAATCGGTTTCTTAAAATGAAAATCAATTTCCTATTTTGAAAATTAATTTTTTAATTTAAGTTTAATCAACTCGTAAAGGTAACTTAAGAAATTATTTCCTAATGTGAGCCTACATAAAAATACCTAACCTGAGCTTATTTGGATGATCCAAATTAAATATTGAGTTATTGGGCTAAAGGAGCTTGGGTCAACAGAGCTTAAGTGAAAGCCTACAATGATATTTTAAGTGTAAAGGTAATTCGGGTTTTATAAGGATAAGATCAAACAAAGCTATATGAGTTAAAAACTCTTTGACTAAAAAGGAAAAATTTGCTACATCTACAAGGAGGGAGAGAGGATGTAATCCATAAGTAATCTATCGAAAGAAAATTACATCTCTTCTTCAACAAAAGAAAATGTGTCACCCTTACTAGAGAAATTACACCATCTTTCTTGAGTGATTTCTTGTGAGAGAAACATATACATAGTAGAAAAATTATAGTTAGCATTCTCGATGTTTCTATCACTTTTTATGTAGGTGTTTATCTATGTGGATCATCGATAGAGACGGAACATTTGGATAATTCAATCTACAAATTTGATTCTGCACTATAAGAGGTAACATCTAATCCATCTTATTAATATATAGTTAGTTGATTCAATGGCTGATATTGAGACTTTAGATGGAGGAGAATAAAAATTTTTGTTTATTCTACATCTCCATAAGATGCATAATCCTTCAATTGTTAGCGAGACCCTCCATTGAATTTTTAATTATATAGTCGTTAACTATGTCAATTGAAATTTCTCTATTGTAAGTCTATTGATTTTTAGTGTTTTATAAATTTTTTAGAGATTTAGATTGCTAATACAAATACCTTTTTTTGCCAATTCAACTTGACCCGAACCATATGAGTTTTTCCAACCTTCTTTAGTGGCCATACTTTGCATATTCCTTTCTAATTTTTGAATCTTATCTTTTCCTTTTCTTGATCTAACCGGGTCATCTAATGACTTTTATTTCTTAACCCTAAGTTGCTTAAGCTCTTTTTTTATTGCACCATATTCCAAAAAAACTTCTTGTAACTCATTTTTTGCTTTTTTTTTTCCTTTTAGAATAGGTTGATCTAGCTTGTAATGGAACTTAAAGATTTCCAATAGCATGAGGAATTATAGCTTCTTAACTAGAAAATGAGTTAGATGATGACATTCGTGCAACTTGAGTTTAGCTTATTTACATTAAAATCTTTCACTCTTATAGCTTGTCATTATGGGTACCCTTCAGTTTTGCTTACCTCCGGGTCATTTATCTTTTGATGACCATTTCCTATATCAACCAGCTCTTTTTAGAACTCTTATGAAGTTTTCCGAATTGATTATTCTTAGAATGTATTAACTAGCATATCTTATTGCTCCAATAAGAAAAACCCAAGAATGTATCCTACAATGAGCCAAATATGATGTTTGGTTCATCCATATATCTTTTTATAGAAAAAGAACATTAGATAACTCAAACGAGTAAGGTAACCCATTTTTATTAAATGTGATTCTTCAATATCATAGCCTTAAACTCTCTCGAGGGTTGGTCTTTCCAC